CCACCCTTCTACAGGATCCCTGCTCCAGCAGAACACCCCTGTCACTGCAGGAGGGCTGCAGCCACCATGTAATGGGACTGCTGCCAACACCCTGACCCACAGCGTGTCAGGCCATGTTCTGGCTCTGTCAGTGGGGTTTTTTTGTACTATTGCATTTGTATTTTTAACTTTCCTATTATTATTGGAAAATTATTCCTATTCCCATATCTTTGCCTGAGAGCCCCTGAATTTCAAAATTATAGCACCAAGTTCAATGGGTTAATACACATTCAGTTTCAGGTGGGAATGCCTAGGTACCTCCCCTTGTGATTTTGTTCACAGGGGTCTTAGGATGAGGGAAGAGACGAGGATCTGACTCCATGTTTCAGAAAGCTTGATTTATTATTTTATTATATATATTACATTAAAACTATACTAAAAGAATAGAAGAAAGGATTTCATCAGAAGGCTAGCTAAGAATAGAATAGCAAAGAATGATAACAAAGGTTTGTGGCTCGGCTCTCTGTCCGAGCCAGCTAACTGTGATTGGCCATTATTTACAAACATCCAACATGGGCCAATCACAGATGCACCTGTTGCATTGCACAGCAGCAGATAATCAATGTTTGCATTTTGTTCCTGAGGCCTTTCAGCTTCTCAGGAAGAAAAATCCTAAAAAAAAAAAGATTTTTCATAAAAGATGTCTACGACATCCCCTGGCAGGGAAGGTGTTTTGCACTGTCTTTGCAGCACTGTGGATTATGTGCAGTCCTCTCGTGGAAGGCCTCAGAAATGAGTCTGGGGGTGCTTCAGGGGTCTATGATAGTTTGTGACCCCTTCCGAGACACGATTGCTGTTTCTCACATCAGTGTGATTGAGCCAGTTATTCCCCATCAGAAGGGATGAAAACCCTCAGACCTATGTATGAATGACCTGATACCTCTCCTAGAGGGAAATTTTCCATGTGAACCAGTTGTGTAAGGGAGGATATTGGCATGGTAAAAAACAACATCCCAGCTCCTCAGGAGATGTTTCTTATTGTCCTTCTCCCTTATCTGGCTCAAAACCCAGTTTGTTGCTAAACAAAGTTTGGTTTGTCACAGTCACCACACATCAAAAAACTCCTCCTCCCCTTTGGTTGGTGGTACAAACCTGGCCTCAGCAAGGCACCCAGATGATTTTGCAAATGGCTGATTGTTTTGAGTCTTTAACCTTCAACATTTCAGTCTCTCACACAACTGTGTCTCTTGGCTTTTATTTTATTCATCCTATTTTTCAGGAAAGTCATAGAAGCAAAGTCTACTTCAAGACAAATGCAAAAATCCACCTTAATTACTGCAGATACTAGAACATGCAGAACCACAGCAAATTTCAAGCATTTTATTAGTCCGTGTAAGAGCATGTGAAAGATCATCTTGACATTTCAAAATTGGTTCATAAATTCTACTGCACATGTTGTGATTTCTGACTGAGCCCTCGCTAGTTCTTAGTTTACTCTGCTGTGTGCTGTAGTGACTTCCAGTCCTGATATACAAATATCAGGTAACAGCACAAGTGGTTCCTCTACTTCCCTAAGGTGCAATTACTATGATTCCTGTTGGCTTGCTCAACAGCAACATCACTAAAATCTTTGGGTTTGCTGATAATTTTTTAGTGTGGCATCCTTAGCAATCCTAAAGTGCTGAGCATGCCTTCTAATATATAAATATATAGGTATTTATGTAAAACATATAAATGTTAATTTAATCAAAACCATAGCTCAGGGTGTCTTTCAACATTAAAAAAAATTGTTGGGAAGCAATATTGGGTTAAAATATTTCATCCCCACACATTGCTCCTGCCCAAAGCCATACTATGAAGAGAACGGATCTGAGATCCAGCTAAACTATTTTCTTCTTAAGGAAAAAAAAAAAGACAAGTGTGTTGTTGGATGGCTGAATCCATTATCTGCTGTGGTTGAGGGCTGCCCACAGAGATGGTTGTTTCTCGCATTTAGAAAAAGATCTGTACTGCTTAATGTTCTAAAGCCTAAATCATATAATTAGAAATGGGATTTTTGTTTCTGCAGGCTCATACCTCTGTCTGCACCAGGGCAGCTCATGCTGAGCCCCATCACCGCTATTCTGATGCTGACCATCAAAGTCCATGGGGCCATGCTGACCCCTCAAAGTCCAAGGAGACATTTCAGCTGGTGAATTAAGGCACCAATCTGCATTGAGGCACCAATCTCCATCCTCCAGATTTATTTTCTGTCATGGAGGCGTCAGTAATGAAAAAAAGTTTTGTGCACTATATCTCAGGCAGGTGCAGGTGGGTTTGCCTGTGCTAAAAGCTGATTTGTGTCATGTGAGCACAGCCAAGGGCACAGTAAACCCATGCTAGCAAGGAAAGCTGAGAGGCAGAGCACAGATGCCTGAATTTGGTGCCTTATGAAATTTATGGTCAGTGGACAATGTGTCTGGGACCTCTCCACATCTGCCCAGATGTGTGCTTGCACCAACAGTGTCGTTCAGGTAGGCAGCACAGTGGGTAGGGAACAGGGTCATTTGACAGGAAAACCCACACAACAGGCTGACTGGAGTTAGCAATGAAGTTTAAAATTTAATTGAAATTGCTTACAGATGTTTTAGGGTAGACTTTTTCTCAATTATTTAACTAATGCTATAAGAGCATGTCACTGAGAAGAACCACTTTGATCCAGGCTGTGTACAAACAGCCAGCTTCTGTGCATCAACACTTCCCTAAGCATGCCTGTAAATTAGACATTCAAATATTTAAGATCACAGCAGACTGTAAAATAAAGATGTTTTAGAATGTACTGTATATTTCCACGGGGACTTGGCATAATCAAAGTAAAAGTGCTGGCCCAACAATTTGACTGAAGAGCTGGGAAGGGAAAGAAAGAGAGTAGAGGTATTGGTGTCAGCAGGGGGTTCATAATCTGAATAAACTTTCAAATGGAAACGGTATGGAAAAGCTCTGTACCTTAAGGGCAAAACAGCTTTATTGTATCAAGTAGTTTATTTGGTTTGTTATGGCTCTCTCTGCAGAACAAAATTACCAGTGTCTGCTGGCTAAATGGAAAACACTTGGATCATAAAAATATCAAATGAATCTCTTTGGCAACCGCTAAAAATCTACACACGTTTATGTAACTGTTATTTTTCTTCCTGTTATATACTGTCTGGAAATATAGCCTGAAGCTTCCTTAGATCTCTTGGAAAGAGCTAGCATGCAGATCCTTGCTGCAAAAATACATTGCTTAGTACAGGTTAATGTTTATTAAGTTCTTTGAAGGTTTTTATTCACTCCTTCACAGCGATTTTTTTTTGTATTAGAAGAGCTCCACTTATTCATAGCAAACACAGATGTTGACAGGAAAGCCCTAACATCTGCTTTCCAGTGGCCATCAAGCTTTTGTGAATTAGTAAATATGGAACAGATTGTGAATTTGTTTTGAATGCTTTAAAGTGGGAGTATTTAATACCTGCCTCAGAGCTTTTGGGTCCCAGAGAAAAAGTGAGCTGCTGATGAATTTCTGGTTGTTTAGGAGGCTTACAAAGCAGCACAAGGCAGCCTGCAAATGTGGGATTTCCCAGCTTCTTAAAACAAACCTTTGTGTAGTTTCTATATAAAGGAAAAAGCCAAATAAAGATAATTATTTCTGCTAACAGAGTCAGAGGAGACCTTTTCTACAAGGTGATAGATGTGTATCTTTCCTGCATAGGTCATGTGTCCCCATAAGAAATCAAATCTTTGCTGCAATTTGTCTTTAATCTTTTTTTGTTTAGTACTATTGTTTTCCAACAGAAACAAAACTGTTCTGTGACTTACAGATATGATCTCTCTTTTTGTCTAGACAAAATAATAAGCCAAACACAGCAGAATCATGTTAGACACCCACTGATTTTATTAAGGTCAGTGACAATATGGCTCTAAATTTAAGAGAAACTAGTTTGTGGGGGTTTTTTCTCCACAGACTTGTTTCAATTGACTTAAAAGTTCCAAATGATTAATATATCTACTAAAAATAATTTTCTAGTTTATATCTATTACCAGATTTTCTAGCCACTTGGAGTCCCTTCCATAGAAGTTATTTCAGTGGTTGCAAGTAATCCTGTTTTTTTATCTGATGCTCCTTCTATTACCCTTGGCTTTTCCACAAGAAGTTACTCTTTCACTAAATGAATTTGCTCAGATCTGTAAATTTTATATTTAGAAATTATGTGCTAGAAAGATCTAGACTCATTAGATCTATTCAAAATTCACGTAGATTCATGGGACATCTACATTAATTTTGGGATGTGGAAGATATTTAACCTTAGAGAAGAAAGAAGATAGGAGTGTCAGATTTTGAAGTGATTTGAAATCCCAGCTCTATACCACTGGTGCTTACACAACTTTTCACTTAGGAAAGTTGCTTGCAAGTTCTGAAACAATACTTTTGATCAAGTGCCAGCATCTCAGCACTCATGTCTTTCTGCAGTTATTGTGTGTTGTCCAGTTCTTCTGCACACTGGTGTCACTTTTCCCAAATAACTACTTATTTTTGATCTCCAAGATGGCTCATTTTGCTATGAGGCTTAGAACAAAATTTCCCATTAGTGTTGATCAAGAAGATGATGATGGTTGAGAAGCCAGGTAGCACCTGGCCTCACACACTCTAATAACCTTACAATAACCCATCAAATTTATGAGGATTCTCTGATGCTTTTGCCATTTTGATTAGAAAACTTTACGAGGAGTATGCATTTCAATTTTTAGTTTGGGAGTGCAGTTGGAGAGGGGTTCTGGGAGGATGAGTGAGCTGGAGATCAAAAGTGAGTTCTGTCACTGCAAATGGAGCCATGTGCTGCATCTGAAAGGCAATCAACCCAATCTGTCTGGCGTCCTCTGAAAGACAGAGGATCCCTTCAGAGAGAAAATGCCTTCTCCCTGCCTCTTGCATGCTTTGTTCTGCCTTTTGTGATCTTCATTCTCTGTGTTCCCTCAAAAAATATCTCTGTTTCTGTGATTTATAGATCAAAATGAATTCTCTGATGTAGCTGGCTCTTGATCCCTTAACTGCTTTGAAAACTTGTATTAAGGTTTTCGGCTTGTGTAAGAATGTGATGGATGCCAATGGAAGCTTTTCAGCATAAAATTCATTTTCTACCCAACCCAAAGCCCTGGAAGGAGGAAATCAGTCACAGAGTCACCATCAGGATCTGTAAGTAACTCTGAAATTTGGACATACCCAACAATTACAAAAATAGAGCACAGGATTATGAAGCCATGTGCCAGTTTAGCTGTACCTTCATCCAGGAGAAACACATTTCCAGAAAGGTATGGGTGGTGAAAAGCACTTTTGGAAAACACTGCTATTCAAAGTCTAATTTTGCTTCACTTCAAGTGGCAGATTTTGCTGGCATTGGAGGAAAAGGTGGATATCATGAGGAGTTTTTCTGCTATCTGACATGAATTTGCTCTTTTCTCACTTCTGTGTGTTCATTCACAAGCGTAGGGGTCTTCTGTTTTGAAGAAGATTTAAAGATTGCTTTAGCTGAAAAGAGTATATAGAGGAATGTTACTGGAGCACTGCTGACAGCTAAACCAGCCTGTCTTATGTCTTCTGCCACAGGTCTAAAAAGAAGAGGATCAATAATGTAATAACTTTCTCCTTTGAAGCCTCTGATTCTTTTTTTGCTTTTTATGCAAATTTAACTAACCAAGATTTTGTTTCTCTAATCATCTGTAACAACATTTCCATGTAAAAAGGGGCAAACCCATTTTTTTGGTTGTAACTTCTGCAATTGAGGTTCATTAGCAATTAGGTTCAGTTTCATTAGCCTATTTCCAGAAAAAAAAAAAAAAAAGCATAGTCTTTGGACCTGAATGTAAATATAATATCCAGAGATATTATTTCACATTTATTATTTATTCAGTGCACAACAATCAATCCAATACCTTAAACTGCAGTAATATCAGCTTAATTTTCTCTTGGCTCCCTCCCCTTTTTCTATTTGAAATCTAGAAAGGGATAAAGTGGGGCAATTGCATTCTGTAGGAAATTGCCTTGCTGATTCCATATTTACAGCCTTTATTAACCTGACAGGGAAGAGTGGAATAGCCAGCAAATCAAGGACAGGGTTGAAAATGTCAAAGTTGTGGAGCATAACATCAGCATTACCAAAGTACATCAGGTGTTATTAAAAGTTTGATAGTTCCCTCTCATGACAAGTACAGTAATGAGAACAGAAAATACACAAAATTAATTTATTTTTATGCCAAAAATAATAATGAGGTGAGATGATTACATCCAATTTGCAATCTCAAACTTGTCATTTCCCAATGGACTGGACCAGTAATTTTAGTAGCTTAATTAAATCAGAGGTAATAATTCCTCCTCCCTTCCCCCATCTGCTCAGAAGAGGGAAAACTTAATGGAAAGGAAAGAAGATTTCCACAATAAAAAATTGTCTTTAGATTTGCACTCAAGAGAGGCAGGGACTAAGCAGTTTAATATATATTTTATGTATGCTCTTGAACACTGTTGTTTCAGAACTTGTGAGTTAATATTTGGAAGAGACCTCAAGATTTGTTTTTACACCTTCCTGAAGGTGAATTGCTTATGCTGCATGGGAAAACTTTATAACTTTATTGTTTCTATAAACACTATATATATGTGTTATTTTCCTAGAAATAATAGTAGAACAGTTTTCCTGTACATAAATATTTCAGGATGTGATCAAATAATACTCTTTGGCCTTAATATCTGTTCATATTGTAAACTTCTTGGTGCAGAATAATTGAAAGGTTAATAAAGTAACTGACATCCACTTCAAAATCATACTCAACAGCACTACACAAGCCTCCAGTAATTAGTATTTTAATTAGTCACTTAGTTGCAGCCGTATTTCGTTGCATTTCTACCTTGATATGTCCTGTAAAACTGAAGTGTCTATTTTATGTCTCCAATAACCATTAATTACAAATTAGGCCATCTCAGTGCTTAAGGGTTACAAGAGAAGACAATTTAATTCCATCTCATGTTTCTTGAAACCTCTATGAGGTTTAAAACTTTATTCTGTCAGCATCATCTCCATTTGATTGTTGCTCATCAATTTAATAATTTTTTTTCATTAAGATCTTCCAATCAACATCAACTTCTGAGTATAAAACCTAATTGCAAGGTCTCTTAGGTTTTCTGTTAGCCATTTGGATATCCTAATTATTAGATAGATATTTATATCTGATGGATTTTTTTTGTCTTACATTCAGCTCCTCTTAGAAAATGGACACAGGGTTAATGGAAACAGCCTTAAAAGACTAAAGTGCTTGGTCATGCTGCCTAAGTGGTAGGTGGCAAAAAATACTTTAATATTATATCATCATCTACTGTGGATACTTCTAATGAGAATAGAAATCTAATGAGAATCCTTACCAACTTGTTTCAGTGCCCTTAGATACATAGTAAAAATCTGGAGGAAAACATATGGACTTATTACTAAGAAAATGTGTAAATAACATTAAGGCTTATTGAGCAGTAAATAATTATGAAGATAGCTTATATATATGTATATTAATGTCTAATTTGGGGGGGTTTGGTCTTTTTTTTTTTTTTTTTTTTGAATGGCCAAATGCAAGTTTGCAAGATTGAGAACTAAGAATTTTGGGCAGTCCCTTCAAGCCGTGAGATGATTTACTGGCAATACCACTTGGAGAAGGAACTGTGGTCACAACCAGGTGAGAGTCAGCAGTGTCCAAGCTGCCAGAGGTGTGTGTTGCATCTCTGGGAAGATATCTGAGCTCTGAGTGGAGAATATAGACTAAGAATAAAACTTTTCTAACTAAGAATACTAAGAATACTAACTAAGAAAACTAAGAATAAAAACATTGAGGGTCTTTCCAGCCAAAATCATTAGAACGTCAATAGTTGCATCATTGGATGCAGCTGCCAAAGGCACCTGGATGAACAGAGACAAATCAGATCCCTGAGAGTTTCCAGCTGGTGTGCAAGGTAGTAGTAATAATAATAATAATAATAATAATAATAGTGATTAATAATAACAGTCAAGTTACTTGGTGTTGCTGGCTTTTGAATACATAAATAACAACACAGGCTGTGAGGCTACACCAGGACTTAAATGAAAAAATAAGCTTTCACTTATCCATTAACCTTCTATTTTCCTGGAATAAGTTGTTTCTATATTATAAATAAATTTTGTATCAGTATTTTTATTATGACAGGGATGAATGGGAGAGGGAGGTGAAGTCTGCTCTAAGCAGATGGTTGTCAAAAACTGCACATAGAAATAGAGAATGCAAAATGAAATAAGAGGAGATGTTCCCTCATTTTGTAGTTATTTCTCAAATAGTGAGTAAAAGTTACATTATAGACACAAGGAAAATGGTAAAAAACTCATTAATGCCAGAAATGAAAAAGAAAACCAGTTGCTGAGAAATAGTTTGTAAATTAAGTTGTGTGGTTACCCTAAGACCTTTAATAGTCAATGTTAATTGGACTGAAAACAACAAAAACAATCAAAATAATAAGAAGCATATTTGTTGATTGATAATCTCATATTTGAGATATTGAAAGGAAAATTAATTTTTACAAAAAGCCACAATGTCCTTGCTTCTGAGAAATCAAGTGTCTGCCATGGATGCAAAGGAAAGCTAATGAAAAGATAAGGAAACTTATCAGATAAGCGGCTGTCATCTGATTGCATTTGATTGTGGGTGAAAATCTAAATGCTCACTTTGTCATTTCTTTCCAGTTAGAGAATTCTTGTTAGTCTGCTCCCTGGAAAATCATAGATTGGAACAATGTTTTCATATTGATTTAAAGGAATTTCTGCATAAGAGACATGGACTATTTGTTATGTAATGAAAAAGTGCACAGGTTCAACAGGAAATTGAACTACTGGGCAGGTATGTATCTAGCAGTCTTTTAAAAACAGAGTTTGACTGCTTTGAAATCTTCATCTGTACAAAGGTGCCTGTATTTTGTTTCACAGATGAAAAATGGGAGAGCAATTCCTCAATGGGAGTTTTTACAGGCTCTTGGTGAAACTGCAGAATCTGTTTGCTTGTTTAGGTTATGGGGTTACTTAACCTCAAACTTTAGAGCTTCTGTCAGAATTTATTGAACTGACAGAATAAAGAGGGGCTGCAACATGAATCCACTTAAGTACCTTTGAACTGTATTAAATTGAGGGTCTTCACTAGCTTTGATCATACATATATTTATAATATATAGTAATACTGAGGTTTTTATATAGTCTGTAAAGAATAGACATAATGTTGTGCTATAGTAACTGACAATTCCAATGTATGAAAACTCTACAAAATCAAAGGAAAATGAGGGTGTTTTTGTTTTTTTTTTTTTTTTTCTCTTGGATAATTTTTAATTGAATTTAATTTTGGAGGGTAGCATTTCCTCATTCCTTCTGGAAAAAAGTGCTTTAAATCCAAAGTCTGCTTCCAACTAGTACTTCAATTACTGATGCCTCTTATGCAAGAAGTAGAGAGGCATCACTTATGTACAAAAAGGTATTGCTGTTCTAAACTCAAAGGTTAATTTGAGTGCTGAGAAAGTGTACAGTACTTTGGCAGTTTAACAGGTACTTTGAGCCCTTGTAAATTGGTTTATACTAGCAAGGATAAAAATTACAAGGGTTACTAATCTTCATGCTGAAATCATTAAGCTAATTACCACCAACTGTTTTATTATCCAAGCATATTAAGGGAAATGTAGCTGCATCCTGGAGCAATGAGTAAAACCTGAGTAGGTATGTACCAGCCTGTGCTTTAAATGATGTGCTGAAAAATGCAGACTGAAGCTTGTGCACGTACCTGACACAACTTTCCCACTGGAAAACTTAGAAAGTATATATATATATATCAAGTGGAATATTATCTCTGCAAGCAGGTCCATTATTTCTCACAACATAACCACATCAGAGCTCCTTTTCTGGTATTTTTTACTAATTATTGTGCTCCCTCTCGTTTGGCTTACATCTCTTCCACGCATCAGATAAGGCTATTATGTGTTATTATTTTTTCAAGTCAAAACTCCACACTTGCAAAATCTATTTGTAACACTGTAATTTGAGTCTTCCAAAGGAAATGAACAAATCTTGGATGATTCTCTTTTTTAATTAACGCTGTGAGTAGGGTTTTGATTTCCTTCCTTTTGTGTTTAACACAGAAAATATTTCCCATTCTCCCAAAAGGAAAGTGCAAATGCTTCCAAGAAGTCTTCCTAGGCTGTTGTAAAATTCTGAAAATGTACAAAAATTATTCTGAAAGAATAAGTATGCTGTGCTACACTTCACACCAAATATATGCCACTACCTTTCCCAGCACAGTTTGGCAAAATAGGTTCACAACCACATAAAAATAGTTTCTAGACTTTTTTCTTTTATAATTAATAACATACAGAACAAAAAAAAAAAGGCAAGCTGAATTTCCCAAAATGTATTTTAAATTTTTTTAAAACAACAAGAAAGCCTTTAGTGAATAAAAGTAACCATTTGTTTATCCCAGTAACAGGATAAAAGTTGTTAATAAGTAACATTAATTTTCAGTTGTTGTATTATTTAAGTATTTTTATATTAAAAGCCAGGTGGTGATAGGAAGCTTGTCAGGTAAACTTTAGCAATAAAACCACACTAGGCAAAGTGAGGATCATGAGGAAAAAAATCAGGCTTAATATGTAGCCTTGAATATATTTAAATATTTCCTTTTGGGTGTTGGGCCCTTGTAAGCAGGATAAATATTCTGCATAGAAGGGGATTAGAGGAGGGAATTAGGGGAGAATAGTGAAAAAAACAAATACTAACAAAGAAAACTTTAAACAGTTTAGAATAATTGAAAAATAGATGATTTTACTTTTCTGTTCATGTTTCCTGCTTGCAGAGAAGTGCTTTCCAAAGCAGAAGGATGGATTGCACAGAAGAGCAGGAGATTTGTTTTAACAGCCCAGCACGTCTCCTTTCAGCCCCACACCTCAGATGCTCTCAGCTCCCCAGGGATGAATCACAAAAATGAAAGGCAAATAATCTGTGGGAAAACAATGAACTAAATCAGTACAAATAAAAGATATAATTCCAGGAAGTTTTTGTTGGTTTGGGTGAGTCAAACTTGTACACAAGGCTCAAATTTCTTCTTTTCAGAGCATGCCCTCAGGTGGCTACCACAGTGATTTCTTCCCAGGGTGTTGTGCTGTTGTTTTACAACATCTGGAAAAAGAAGGCATGCACCAATATATAATTCTTATAATGAGATGTTTTCAACATTATTGTAGCATAACCATTGTGCATACACCAATACATAATTCTTATAATGTTTTCAACATTATTGTATCATAACCAGACTGTTAAATTTTTTCCTCTCCTTTCCCCCATACATTTCCTCTGTATGTCAGAAAAAATCTTTTTTATGGGAAGCCCCACAATTGTATTAAAGGCTCTCTCAGCCCATGAAGCTGTCAAACCCAGGATGATTATGCCAAAAAATCTTCTGTACACACTGTCATATTCTTAACTGGTGTAAATTGACTTAGCCTCATTGACTTTAATGGCACTATATTTGCAAAACACTTATGTCAACTCTGAATCTGAACCACTGTATTAAACCCATTACAATGTGAGATAACTACCCAGGGACTATATTTACACTTTAGATGTTCCTGTGTAAATACATAGGGAAAACATTTCCAGGAAGCTCTACATTTAACCATTAAATGACATCCAATTACACTGTATTTCATTAGAATTACCTTTTCAAAGAATTAATGAGAGGAAAATAAACAGCCCTTAGAGCTCATATTTGTGATGGGTCTGCCACAGACTCACAGAGGGTCCCTTGAGGTCCTGCCTCATTGAAAATATTTTTATTTTTACCTTAGTGAACAGAGTTCAGGCTTTTAGTCTCACAAAGATAAAACAACTACGATGGCCTTACAGATGTATAATATTATGGAGCTCAAAAACACATAGTAAAAACAACAATTCCCTGGAGTTTTGCAAAGGACCAGGGAAAACAAAGGTTAGTTTTTTTGGATGTGACACCTTTCTTGTTTTTGTTTCAGCTTTTCCATTGCAAGGGATGTGTACAAGCCTGGTGCATTAGTCTGCTGTTGGGAAGGAACATGTAGCTACAGAAATGTCTGACAGATGGGAAGTGCCCGGGGGATCTGAGGTCAGAGGATAACTGATTGCTCATACATTATCTAGTAAAGTAAATAAATAACTGACATTTCAGTCTCTGAAAAATCAGTGAAAAGCCCACAACTCGACTGTGTTGGACAATATATGGATTCCTCAACACAACTGCTCAGAGATGGTATTAAATGATCTTTCTGTTAGGAAATAAAATATTGAATGCTGCTAAATTTTAACTGTTGCATACAAGTTGGAAACTATGGAAAATACAAACAGTATAGATTTTTACACAGTAAATAATACATTAAATTTCTGGAAAGAACAATGGTCCTTTTGAATTACAGGACAATGTGGAAATATGGCAGTATGGAAGTTTCTTATTTCCTACAGAATGTCTATAAAAATTGGGTAAAAACGCTTCACAGGGAAGCACTCTTTTCAAATGAATAACAAAAGAAAATGTATGCTAGCTAGATGACACTTTCCACTCTTAAAAAACAATTAAAATCTGTATTGCAAGTCATACCAAACATTCCAAGGGCTGGGCCATGACTTGAAGTTTACAAGAGCAGTTCACAATCATAGGTAAAGAATAAACTCTTGACAGAATGTACTTGAATCAAATTGAAAACTCTTTCTGTGCTTTTCTTTCAGTTCTCTTTGGATTTTCCCCTCTCATGACCCTCAAGGAACACAGGTGACAAGACCTGTGTGTTCAAGCACTCTACATAACATCTGTGAGTGGAGGAGAAGAGGAGAGGGTGGATTTCACACCATTCCTTGAGCAGTGCTTTGTCACCCTTGTCAAAGGGCATTTTGACAAATTTGGTTCATGCTATAAGTTACCAAATGGGATGTAGTTCCCATTTGGTAGCAAAATAAGAAAAATGTGGGTTTTCTGCATGTGATTTCTCTAGTTGCAGGCCTTGCCTTTCCTTCCAAAAGCTGGCTGCTAAATCTTTCTTTACTCATGCTAACACCATTTATTAAACGAGGGTTTGATGATGCTTGGTAAAGTTCTAATATGTTGTTATGGGGTTTTTCTTTTTCCACTGAACATCTGACAGCCATGATATGTATGTTTGAGAAAATAACTCAGTTTTTAAGTCAGAATCCCAACTGGGTTTGCATGTATGGATTGTCAAAGGGCATTATAGTATGGGATGTAGCTCCCATTTGGAAGCAAAATAAGAAAAATGTGAGTTTTCTGCATGTGAAAGAACAGCTGCTGCCCACTCTACAGTTGCAGGCCTTGCCTTTCCTTCAAAAGCTGGCTGCTAAATCTTTCTTTAGTTATGCTAACACCATTTATTAAATGAAGGTTTGGTGATGCTTGGATGTTGTTATAGGGTTAATCTTTCTCCACTGAACATCCAATAGCCATGATATGTAGGTTTGAGGAAATAACTCAATTTTTAATCAGAATCCCAACTGGGTTTGCACGTATGGAAAGGACACTACCCTCACACTAACCTGTGAGTTTATACTCATGGTTTATCTTACCCTGAGACATTGGTACTGCTGAATTTGTTACTGAGTGTCCTCAAACCACCACGAACTAACCAATGTTTGCTTGTTGCAGACCAGGGTCAGAAATCTGTGGCTGTTTTTACCTCACATCTTCTAGGAATTCACTGTGCTGAGACCATGCAGCAGCCTGTGTACAATTCAGAGATTAAACATAATCTTCTGCTTTCCACTGCTGCCCAAAAATACTTTGCCCTGGAAACTCCTGCTGGAGTGACTCATCTGTATCAGAGATACAAGAGTGCTTCTGTCCTGATGCCCAGGGGCTTTTTCTGAAGTGTGTCGTATTAATTTTGTCCTTGAAATTCGTGGAAAGAAAAGATTGCTGGCCCAGTTCACTTCATGCCAATGTCTAAGCATCCCATTGTCCATGACTCAGAAGCTGACTTTTTTGCTGAAGACAAGTTACTAGTAACTCCAGGTTATCATTATTTATGTAATTCTGGTGGCTTACAGGAAAACTGAGTTACAGTTCAAGTATGTTGTCAACAACTTTCTTTATATAAATACAATACAGGATAAATAGCTGGGTAGTGGCTTACTGTCAATGATATATTTTATGAAAAATCCTTTTGCCAGGATCTTTTCTCCTGAGAAGCTTCAGCTTCTCCATGTTTTGCTGCTTTGGAATGTGATTTGGAGAATTGTTTACCCAGCATGTGAAATTGTTTTTACTTGATGACCAATGACAGCCACCTGTGTTGAGGCTGAGAGCAGCCACAAGATTTCATTATTCATTCCTTTTCTTTCTTTGCCAGCCCTCTGATGAAATCCTTTCTTCTATTAGTATAGTTTTAATATATAATTTTCTTTTAATATAATATATATCACAAAATAATAAATCAGCCTTCTGAAACATGCAGTCAAGATTCTCATCTCTTCCCTCATCCTGGGACCCCAGTGAACACCACCACAGCATACCAGAATTTATGAAGATCTTATTCTTCTCCATTTAAAAGTGTGGGGCTTTCCCACACAGCACTTACCACAGACAACTTTAAGGAAAAAGAATAAAACTGTCACATTCTTCTCCATTATAATTCCACCTGACCATTTCAGAGGAAATACAGGTTTTACGCATGCTGTCAAAGGATTTATGACCTGAAAATCTTCAGGCTATATATTGAGCTGAAAAACTTTTTAGATACTTTCAACTGCATATGTAATTATTAGTGTACAGATATAATTCTAGAAAATACAGTGAAAAAAAATCATACTAATTCCAGATGTAAAAAATGATCAATTAAGAGAGTAGTTCTATCAATGTTAGTGTGAATTTTCACGTAAAAACGTAAAACTGGGTCTTCAGTCTTTCTTGCTCTTTCAAGAATACATTCGACAAGTTTGTGACAAACATTCTGTAAAAATAAAATGTATTGCTAAAATTCAGTATGAATTGTATTTCAAGGTGTCTTGCAGTTATTTTAACAGGTAGCTGTGACAATATTGTTAACATGTTGATTGTAAAATTAAAAAAGGGGAAGGAAAAAAGAAGGAGTTTTAAATTTTGACAAATTTGGTTTATACTATAAGTTACCAAAATATGAGAGCTTTACACAGCCTGTTACACAAAATGAACAATTTTTAAAATAACTCTGGAAAATATGCGCATAGGCTTAAATGTTGGTTTAAACATAAAGGTTGGTCTCTTGTCAGCAAAAAAATACTTAATTGTTTGTTAAAGGTATTCCAACGAGAAAATGAAACTTTACAAATATTAGCTTTTTAAATCCATTGATTCAGCTCAAGTGTCTTAAATGATGAAATGATATCTGGGATTTTAAACTATTTGTTTTCCTGACATTATAATATACCTTTAACTTTTAACAATAAAAAGGAAGAGCAAAGGTTGCAGATAATCTAGTTTATTCTGAGCAAAATCTAGCCTGAAGGTGGGTTTGTCTTTCAAAGAGGGGGAAGAAACAACAGTTAAATGATGCTTTCAATTTTCTAGGCTGATTAGAAGTAATTCAAGTACTTCAAGTGATGTAAAGCTTTAAATCTATTGATTAAATTTGCATCTCCTAATTTTGAAATGATCATTTATGTGGAGTGTAGCCTAAACTGCAGAATCTTTTACAACTTAAGTATTGATTTTTAATATGTCAAATGTACTCATTAAAATGAATATTTTTTAGATTGCATTTTTAATATTAATATTTGCTTGCATTTTTAACCACTGACATCAAAGATATTTCGCAGAATTTTATGGGTCACTACATGTTACTCCACTGGACAAAGAAAAAAAGAAAACAAGCAGAAGTAGCTGCTTTCAACACAGAAGACTTGAAGACTATGGCACACAACAGAAATGCAGAAAAACTCCAGTTTTGGTTGAATGCAATGGTTCTGGCACTGCATGGTATTGACTGCATCCAGTCTTCAGTTCATTTCATAGGAATAAATGGGTTGAATAAACTGACTGAAGGCATTATGTCCCTCAGAGCTGCAGTCTGACAGAGCTGTGCTATGTGTTCAACACCTTTTTCAACTGGGGTCTTGCTCAGCAGCACCTGTTTGGAGATTCTTCCTGACAATTTTGGACACTTTCATCCGATAGATGCATTCTACATCAGGTAATCTTGGTGATTTAGACCTGTTTTCCTCAGGGCAAATTTGTATTTGACCTTCTTCAGAGATCTTTCACATGTTATGTGATTTGCCTTTTGAAGTTGAATTTCGCCTCTCCTTGGAACCAGAGAGTTGAAGTATATTATTTTATTTTTTTCAGCTGACAGAACACCTTTCAAATTATTTATTATTAATTAAAATGTTGTTATCCCTATGTGAAGAAGTAAGACAGTGCAATTATATCAGTTTTACAGGCAATCAAATATGCAGAGCTGCCATTTGAATTCAGGGCTCTTCCAAGAGTGAGTCCAGTCTGTGGAGGAAAAGAGACTCTCAAAGGAGCTTCTAAGTGTGTACAATAAGTTCTTCAAATATAACTGTCTTTTTCTAGTTCTTTATCCTTATTATAACTGTCTTTTCCAGTCCTTTATCCTGATGCCCAATGCAGAAACAATAGACCCTAGAAATCTATTATATGGATGTAGCATGTTTCCTATAGACAAGGACAGTTTAAATGAATAAAATATAAGTGAAAGCTATATGACATGAAGAATTAAGAAACCTGTTGCTCACCATTACACAAGGACATAAGAAGAATAGGATCTACAAAAAGGCATAGATCATTTAATGAAAATGAGAGTGGACATTGGCAGTGTTCATAATTTGCTAATATCATCTGAAGAATCTTATTGGAAGATTTCTATAGGGGACAGAGAATAAAGGCATAAAGGGACACTTTATTAATGAACAAGGAATAATGTTTAAGGAAAGACATAGCAATTTATGGAGGGAACAAGTAAATAGTACAGCCTACTGGAAAATTAAGTATGTTCTTTGAGCTGTTTGGTGGTTTGGTGGCAGTGATTTTGATGTCCTAATTTAGTGCAAGATGAATTAAGGTTACTGTAAAGGGCATTCAGCCAAGTAGTTTGAATATACATGCCTGCATTGCGCAGTTCAATACTTGGCAGAGGGAATTATCTCCTGTAATCCAGCTAATTGAGTTGAGATCCAAGATCACCACTTTTGGGAGAGCTCTGAAATATGGAAAAGAGGGAAAGCCAAGCTTCTGGTGCCTCTTAGCAAAGGCCTCAGGCTACATTTTCCTGAGGGGTGGGTGGGCAGGGCCATGCTCAGCATCCTTGTGCTGTCCTTCCCAGGGAGAGCTTCCAGTGATATCAGCAATGGGAACACGTGGAAAAGGCAATTTGCTCCTGGAAAGGTCTGGTGTTGTGCTATGGGATTTCAGAAGACTCAGAGTGAGTTAGCCGAAGTTCTTCCTGGAGTGTTGTTGTCACTTTGCCTTGGATCCAGTGGGTGAGATGGGGGCTGGACTATGCCTTTTTCTCTTTGGAAACTTGAACTTTGTAGAATTATTCAAGCAAATGGTGAACATGGACATGTGACTCTAAAGCCCTGCTTCTATCATTGTACATCCACTTTTGGTAGAGCTCTGAAATGTGGCAAAGAAAGAAAGGCAAGCTTCTGGTGCCTCTTAGCAAAGGCCTCAGGTTACCCTTTCCTGAGGGGTGGGTGGGCAGGTCCTGGCTGTGTCTGTGCCTGCTCAGAATCCTTGTGCTGTCCTTCCCAGAGAGGTCTTCCAGTGAAGACATGGAAAAGGCAATTTGCTCCTGGAAAGGTCTGGTGTTGTGCTATGGGATTTCAGAAGACTCAGGGTGAGTTAGCCAAAGTTCTTCCTGGAGTGTTGTTGTCACTTTGCCTTGGATCCAGTGGGTGAGATGGGGGCTGGACTATGCCTTTTTCTCTTTGGAAACTTGAACTTTGTAGAATTATTCAAGCAAATGGTGAAGATGGACATGTGACTCTAAAGCCCTGCTTCTATCATTGTACATCCACTTTTGGGAGAGCTCTGAAATGTGGCAAAGAAAGAAAGGCAAGCTTCTGGTGCCTCTTAGCAAAGGCCTCAGGCTACACTTTCCTGAGGGGTGGGTGGGCAGGTCCATGCACAGAATCCTTGTGCTGTCCTTCCCAGGGAGAGCTTCCAATGATATCAGCAATTGGAACACATGGAAAAGGAAATCTACTCCTGGAAAGGTCTGGTGTTGTACTATGGGATTTCAAAATACTCAGGGCGAGTTAGCCAAGGTTTTTCCAGGGGTGTTGTCG